TTATGGTTACGAATAAATAGGGCTTGCCATACTTCGTTACAATTGCCATAGCATCCTGATATTGCTGCTGCATATTTCTGGGACTACCTTCAAAAGATGATGGAAGTATTATCATTTTACCAATAGGCACATTGTCATTTTCAGATCTAGATTTGAGATAATCCATCAAACCACTATATTTTACAACTCTCAACTTAGATTGGTTTGCTTTGATGAAATTTATCTAATTGGCCTCCATATTTGAATATGAATCCACGATAAACTGTTGAGTTAATTTTCCTGCATTTAAAATAGGATTGAACGTGTCCCTCACAGAGAGATGAAATCCATAATACTGTGTTTGTGTGACTTGTGTCCTTACATTTTGTCTAGTATTATTGTCAATTACACTGTTGTCTCTGAGTCTTAATGCAATAGCTGTTCCCCAGCCTTTTTCACCATGTGGAAAAAGAATAGGATATGTTATTGCATCTAATGTAGGAAACAGGATATTGATTTGTTTCATTTTAGTGGCATTTGGATTATTGGGATCTGGTTTACAATGAATGAGCAAGTCCCTTTCAAAAGGAGGTTCTCCATCTTCATTTCTGAATATGACAGCAACCTCGGTTACACGGGGAGAATTATAGCTACCTGGATCACTATTGCGATCATATTTAATCGCCATTGTTACCTCTGTGGGAGCAATACCTTTTGCTGCTGCTTCAGATTGGGCTTCCTTTTCTACCTCATGTAGCATCTTGTATGATTTTGTTAATTCATTTATTTCATGCATGAGGTTGTCGATGTTGATCATGAGTCTTTCTGAGCAGCCCTGGTTTTCTGGCATTGCTAATCTTTTACTTGTAGCTTCGGCTATATCCAAAATATAGAGTTGAGCAAACTTCCAAGAAACAACATCCGAAGGATGTAAAGTTCCAGTACAGTGATGAACTTGTCCATGTATTCTAAAACAGTATGGTCCATATCCTGATGGTGATGCAATATTTGCACCCATGGAAGCAAAAGCAAAAGAACTATTTATGGAACGAATATTTTCCATGAAATTTTTACTGTCAGAATCTTCGTTTGTCATTAATCTTTTAAAATACGCTGGGTAATCTGGAAAATGTATATGATTTGGACAAACTTTCCCTTTGCTACAACATCGAGTAAATTTCCCTTCAGATGGTTTTTCATCAGAGAAATTTAGTGATAGGCAAAATTCACATCGAATAGTCATTCCACCACAACTATGTTCGAGAATTGCATCCTCATGTACTCCATTTTTGCTAAGAAGGCAGTTCCTACCAGAATTGGTAGTACTTGTTGATGACTGTTCTCTAAACATATTCTGTCATTGCCACAGCCTTTTTTCAACTTCAAAGGCATGTTGGTCTTTAGACATTTTCTGTCCATGACACAGGTGTTTTTTGGCATCAGAGCAACGTTTTTCCAATAGCTGGTCTTCAGATACATTCTGTCGCAGGCGCCGCCTTCTTTCAAGATCAGACGCACATTGCTCTTCAGACATTTTCTGTTGATAACACCAGCACCTTTCGGCTGCAGAGCTATGGTGTATCAACAGTTGTTCTTTAGACATAGTCCCACCTCTCTACTGTCACAGTCTGAGATGCAGGTGAATGAGAGTCCTGGCTGTCAGGCCATTGAGAGCTGTCTGACCAACAGCTGATTCTGGCTGATTCTGTGGGGGTGGGACTTCCTCCTCCCTGCTGTCAGTTTCCACAGCTGTGATGAGGAAGCTGGGGTGACAGAGGGAGCCACGCCCTCCAAGCTGCCCTCTCTCTCGCTCTGCTCTATGTCCAGCGACCACCTGCTTTGCCAAGCCTTCCAAACCTCCCGCTCTCTGCTCGCTCTTCCACTCTGCTTTCCACCGGCAAAGGTCCTGGGAGCCCACAGGCATGGGTAGGCACAGCCGGCCTCGCCTCCCGGGGCAGGCGAAGGTCTCGGGAGTGCGTGATCACCATTGCCTCCCGGGGCGCTTGACACCTGCGCATGCAAATTTACTTGCCATCTTTGTCAGGTCAATTTGCATACTCACTCCTGATGGGCTGGTGGGCATGGCTTGTGGGCATGTGGAGGGACAGTCAATTTGCATTTTTCTCTTTTATTAATATAGATATGTTTTGTCTCTGTCACACCTATATTACTTCAATTGACTCTTAAGTGATCTCCTTACCTCTAACACTGTTTTTTTCCCCCACCTCATTCTCTCTACTACAGTTAGAATGATTTTTGAAAAAGGCATTTCCATGCTTAATACTATTTTAAAAATGCATTTCTTTGATTAATGCTATTATTTGTTCCCCATTGTCCACTGGATAAAACTGAAACTCAATCATGCTTTTAAGGTCCTTCATCATATGCTTCCCCTTAGCTCACTAGCTTTATCTCTCACTACTGCTCCATATTCTTTGTACCATAGTGTCCTTTTGGTATTGGTATATATGTTAACTGTGCCTGGTGAGCATTTATATGCATGTTCAAAGAAAATGCAGTCTACTATGGGAGATTAGTTGGACACACAGTTGGGTAATAGAGAACAGATTACATATTAAATGTGGTGATACTAAATTTCAGTAAGGGAATGAGATAACAATTAGGGCTAGAACCATCAAGGAAGGTTCCCATGGAACATATGAGGTATGACAAGGGTGGGGAGTGGGATTTGGACCAAGAGAGGTAATTATGGACTGAGTGAATGGAGCTGTGAGAAGCAAGCCCCTGATAAAGGTGGGGTTCATAATCTGGACACTGAGGTAGCGATTAGTATGGACTCCTTGTTCTCTGAAATCCCAACAGGAAAAATTCTAGTCACTCTTTAGGGTGCTTTAAGCATAGGATAGGGAACGATGGTTTTTCCAGGGCCCTTTTTCAATGGGACGAACTCTACATCCTAAACTGAAAGAGACACGGTCACTTTTATGGTGGCAATGATGGCTTGCAAAGTGTCATGTGAAAAATAACCCTTCTCATGGTGATGAGGATCATATATTTGCTCTACTTAGATGAAGAATTCTCTGTTCAGCATAACTTTTCTACACAGAAACAGATAAGCTGTTTAGAGTTGACTGGTTGCAATTCTAAGCGTGCTATTTTAAGTTAAAAATATCCCACAAGTGAATCATATATGTGTATCTTCTCTCTTTCATCCCCATCCTCCACATAAACACATTCACACCCTTCCTTACTGCCATAAATCATGCTCCTTTTCCTTGCCTTATTCAGGATTTTGCATCATAGAAATTTTGGCTACTTTGGGACTTGATAGCCTGATCCACTCAAACCCCTCACTAAGAATGGTTCATTCATTGTGTTTCCCAAGCCTCCCAATTCCCATTTTATTTTTATAGTTGACTCTATTTGACTATTTTCTGAGTTTCTGGGGGTAAGGCAGAGGTACATAGAGAAGAAACTCCCAAATAGACACATCTCTGGTGTTTAATAGCGTTGTGTATGTATGACGGATGGCTATGGGAGAGAATATTAGAGCTAATGACTAAAGCAAGGTTTCTGGGTGATCACTTTCTTTTCCTTGTTATGTTAGGTTTCAGGTGGCATGAATAAGGAAGCAACAGGAATATCCTAATTGTGGAGGATATCACTGGCTGCCTACCCAACAGCAATCCTTTACTTGCTAATAGAACCCTGATTTTGGTTCAAGAATTAGGTAGCAATGTGCTCAGGGACAGTGACCCAGTGCCAGAGGGTCTGAATCCATTTTGGAGATCTCATTTCCTCTTTGCCAGTGACTGGTGATGGCATGGGTAAGTGACTTGATTCTGTCCACTGTGACACATGAAGAAAATCTGCTGGCATCTTCACCTACCTGTGGTCATCTCACTATGTGGGATAATTAAACCTTATTGTTTAAACTACTTTTAGAAAGGTGCTTTATTATTTGTCATCAAAACCATCCACTCTGAGACACTAACCAACTTTAAAACTCTCAATTTCTACTCTAATTCATTTGAAAAGATTATCTAATAATCTACTTCATCAAAGTCATAGATTTACGAAAAATTAGAGTTTAAAGGGCCCTCTGAGGATGACTGGTCTATTTCTTTCATTTTACTTAATTAATTTATTTTTTAAACATTTTTATGTATTTTTATTGATTTCACAGAGGAAGGAAAAGGGAGAGAGAGATAGAAATATCAATGATGAGAAAGAATCATTGATTGGATGCCTCCTGCATGCCCCACATTGGGGATTGAGCCTGCAACCCAGGCATGTGCTCTGACTGGGAATCAAACTGTGAGCTCTCAATGCTCAACCACTGAGCTATGCCAGTAGGGACATTTCCCACATTTTAAATACCAACCTCTGTGTCTGAAGACTGAGAAGTTTATTTGCAGGCAGTTAGGTCTGTGTTGTATGCTCTATAATCTCTCCACATGTTTAATCCTGATTTTGTACAATTGTGGTAAAATCAGAATTTTGGATTTAGATGAGAACAACACTGAATTTGCTTATTTATTCTCACTGGCATAAAGCTTTCCTAAATATACGTAAAATAGATCTTGGAGGTAACGTTGTTTTTACTTAAGAGAAATTTCAAATGCCCTAGAAATAGCTATTTATAGGCACATAAATAACAAGTCATGCTCATATATTCATTTAAAGAGATGACTAAAGACTTTAGTAGTCAGTACTTTCCCAAATGTGAGATACTATGTTATTTTAAAATAATAAAGTTATGTATCTAGGAAAATATTTAATAAATGAGATTGGCCTTACCCTCTAATTGATTCAAATTTGAGAGACGTTAATTCTTATGCTGACATTCCATCTAGCCTTACTCCCATCCTAGCTTGTCATTTTCTCCCAACTGAGTTTTTCTGAGCAGAAAAAGTAACTTACATAAGGCAAAACTTCTGTTGTCTGATGTTATAACAGATACCCCAGGCTTCCTTTCTACCTAATTTCTGTATGAGAAAATGGTTATTCATTTCCATGATGCCAAATGGTGATAACACTTAAAAACCAGTGGTGCCTACCTGAGTGATGTCCATTCCTGAGTCACAGCTCAGTGGCTGTGTGGAAGTCAGACCATTTGAGCCGATTACAGTGGAGATCACAGCATTCTCATCAATTTTCCGAATCATAGTCCCATCCACAAAGTAAATGAATCCATGCCTATCAACTGTGATGCCTGTTGGGAAAGAGCAAATGAGCATTAGGAGGCTAGCGGGCCACATTTGCACCACGATCAGGAATTTAAAAGAAGCTGTAGAAATGGAAAAGCATTTTAAAGACATATGGATTCAATTTTGCTCAGCACGGCCAGGACAGTAATGGGAGGGGTCTGTTCAGGCACACATTCGCTTCTTTGTGTATTGAGAAGAAATGACAAAATGTAACATGTGGAGATAAAGCCAGGTCTAACAATTTCGTGTTGTCCAGTTTTACATTTCCACCCCCTTGACACTTGCTTACCACCCCCCCCAAACAAACAAACAAACAAACAAACAAAAAACCTTCTTTAAGATAAATGCAAAAAGACACAGGAGGCAGTATGTATTACATTTCTTTTGGGGTACAGATGTATAGGCTACTTGCTTATTTTCATAGTTGAATTAGAAATAACTGACTTGGAAAGCATTAACATTCTTTTCATCAATTCACACTCAGTTAACAAAGAGTTTGTAATAATCCTGATAAACTGGACTGAGTGTTTTTCTCTAGAATACCTATTAAGGGGGAAGAGGGTTGGAGAGAAAAATTATGGTGTCACAAAGGGAATGGTTAAGCTTTTAGAAAAAAAAATAAAAGCCAATAAAATTTTCACAGTAGTTTTTACATACTGTGTTAACTACAGCCTGGTTTCTTGGAAAATAAAATAAAAATAGCAGTTAGAAAGCTAGGGTTCTAATACTGAATACACCACTTATAACCAATGTGTGACTGATGGAGAAATTTGTCTCTCCAAATTTCAGCCTCTTCTTTAGTAAAATATGGAAAAGATTACCTGCCTATGATATTGTGATTTGTTTTTGTTCCTAATTCTAACAAAGAGCACCTAAATCTCTTGGAATTGACTAAGTGGTGAGAGATAAAGGCGTTTTTGTTATGCTAATGAGCTAATTTTTAGCCTCACCTAAATATGGGTTGGTTGCCAGTGGAGCTAACCTTGTGATTAGAGGGTTGGAGAATGAGGGCCAATGATTTAATCAGTTGTGTCTATGTAATGAAGCCTCCACAAAAATCCCAAAAGACATGGTTCAGAGAGCTTATGGGTTGTGTGAACATGTGGTGAGTTGGAGAAAGTGGCTCACTCTGAGAGGGCATGGGAGCTCCTTGCCCTTTCCCCATATCTTGCTTTATGCATCTCTTCCATCTGGCTGTTCCTGTATTATATCTTTTAATAATAAACTGGTGATCCAGTAAGTAAAATGTTGCTCTGAATTCTGTGAGTCACTCGAGCAAACTAATAGAGCACACATTGGGGGTTGTTGGAACCTTTGATTTATAGTCCAGCCAGTCACAAGCACAAGTGACAACCTGGACTTGAGACTGATATCTGACATGATCTCCAGGTAGATAGTATCAGAATTGAGTGAAATTGTAGGACACCTAGTTGGTGTCCAAGAATTGCTTGTTGGTGATATGGAAACCCACCCACCCCTACCCCCTCCACACTGGAAATTGGTTTTAGGACACCTTTTACTGCCTTACTTAGGTAAGGTGACCAACTGTCCTGATTTGTCTGGGACTGAGGCAGGGTTTAGTTTTAAAACTGGGACAGTCCTAGACAAACTGGGATGAGTTGGTTACTCAAGCCTCGGTTGTTATAAGTGTCATATGAAATAATACATTTAAAAAGTGTCTGACACATAAAGAACATATGGTTCAACTCCTACTTCCCTTAGTGCTTTTGATAGTGCTCTTGAAAATAACCACACAGCATTACTTTAAAACTAGTCTACAGTTTTCTTTCCCCATCTTAGAATGTATGTTATAAGTTAGGAACATCTGTGATAAGAAGCATGTCCTTTTAACACATATATACAGGCATAATACTTTTCCTGGCAAAAAGTGAACTCATCTAAGGACAGTTTATAAACCCAACTTAATAAACTGCTTTTAGATGAGCTAATTTGTTGGCAGGAGTTTAATATTAAGACTTGGCTTTATGGTGTACTTTGATTAATCCTGATGCTCCTCATGAAGTATTAATCCTTAACATCTATAAAAGCTACAGATTCATTTTAACTTTCCCAGAATGCCTCTAAAGTAATTTATGTTTTGGTGAGTTCTCCAAGGAAACCAGCATGTCCAAACAAGGGGAAGTTCATGCCAATAAATCCCTTTATGATTTTCAGAGCCATAAGGACCTTTAAGGAGGTTTGTAAAAAGACTTTTAAGATTGGGCTAGGTCCTAGGATGGTGACACATGAATATTTCTTTTATCTCCAGAACATTTGGACTGAGGATGAACCAAGAAGGTACCTCTACTTTAAAAATATATATATTTTTACTGATTTCAGAGAGGAAGGGAGAGGAAGAGAGAGGTAGAAACATCAGTGATGAGAGAGAATCATTGATCGGCTGCCTCCTGCACTCCCCACACCAGGGATTGAGCCCACAACCCGGGCATGTGCCCTGACGGGGAATTAAACCATGACCTCCTGGTTCATAGCTCGACACTCAACCACTGAGCCACACTGACCAGGCAGTACCTCTACTTTTTATTTTTGTTTTGGTAAAATCAATTTCTTGAATGTCTAGAATTTTGTCTGGCTTGTGGCAGGTCTATAATTTGAGATCACCTTCTGTGACCTCCATATAAATATCACTGAGTATGAAATGTAAATTGTGGCTGTCATAAGAGGATGCACTGAAAGATCAAGACTCCAGTCTGGAGAGAGAAAGGCTGAGAGTAGACAGCTTAAAGTGCATGAAATTATGAATTATTACCAAACACATACTGAATGTCACTATGCCAAGTGTTGTGAAGGCCAAAGGACAAATAATCCAAGTACGTGGAAAACAAAACTAAGAATAATACTTATTAAGTGGGAGGTAGTACACTTAGAGAATCTAATCTCCTGAAAAAATGGAACAGATTCACAAAGATATAAAGAGATGGATTCCTATTGAAACTAGTATATTTGGGGAGGTCCTACATTGTTATGTGGACACCAAGAAGGACAACTCTGTTAATTGATCACTATACATGTCAACCTATCAGGGTGAAGTTTGTATTGATTCAGAGATGATAATCCTAGAGTTTACATGGTTCCCCACTTTTCATTTTTGTGAACTTCTAAATACGGTGAACTGCTCCCTCTGTTCCTGTCAGTTGAGTTCCAGAGATGATGTTTATTAAATACTCATGATTGGCCTTCAGGGCTTATTTGACAGACAGTTTGTAGGATACTCTCTTTACATATAGTTGTATAGCAAATTCTTTTATCGTGGTCCAATTTCTAAAATGCTCCTTTTTCCTTGAGACTCTTTAATTAAATTTGAATTACACTTACATTTGGAGTTGAAAAAGAAATTGTAAAAAGAGCTTTGAGAGACTGTGTGATAGGTGCTTATTAATGTACTGGGCATATTTTATATGTATATATTTTTCATTTCCTTCACCAACCAACCAACCAAGCAAGCAACATATGAACTAACACACACACACACACACACACACACACACACACACACTCCCCAAACAACTAGTTTTATAAACTCATCACTGGTGAGGTTTAAGGGGTATTTAATTTTCCCTGAGGTTAAAAACCAAATTTAAAATTCCAGGCAGGAAAAATAATTATTTTTGCCATTACTTGAGGGGGGTGATTTTCTTCCCATAAGGTGTACTGGTATAGTGCAGTATGATCTATTACTGTCTGAGTAGGAGGAGGTGGTACATGTCCAGTATATTTTAAGCTTTATTCTTCAGAGATAGTGATGTGAGTGATTTCAGATCACATGAAGCCATCTGGGGCTAGCAAAACCTGCAGATTCCATTGAATTTTATTTTGGGGGGATATTGTACCCAGCTTTCCAAAATTTTGTGCCCAATGTTGTGGCCATAATTTGTTCCAATGGCCACACCTATTGATGTGTTACGGACAACATTTTCATTAGCACTTACACAATTGAAGGCACAGATTTTGGATAAGAAAGGAATTAAACTTCATTGAGAGAACCACATCCAGGGTTTAAAATTCTCACCAGTATTCATTTTTAGAGCAAGCAAAACAATATGGATCTCTCATATAACCACGAAGTTAGGCAACGATGCAGGGTGGGTGGGGGTGCGGCACATGACAGCTTGAGTCCCCATACCACCAGCTCCATCAAGTAAAACATTAGGCTCAGGCGCCAAGACAGCATGTTTAGCTTGGAGCACATTTTTACATTTGTGAGAAAATAAATAAATCCTTGTAAATTAGTGCATATAATGAAACCACTGACAGACCATAACCTGGAAGTGTGAATGGTGCTGTCTCCATTCATCAGCATTAAGCCCTAACAAGCTCTTTCTATGGAGGGACCTGCTCATAAATAAAGTGCATCTTGTAAAAAAAATTATTCACAATGTCTTATGCAAAGTAGGGGACGTTATATAATAGCTGAACTGCAGGCTCTTTTCTCTGTAAAGCATAGCTCTGTATGAAACAGCTACAAATTATAGGCAAAATTATTTGACTTCTTCCCTTGTCTTATTATCCTCCAATGAATAAATACTATAATTCTTAAGGAGACAATTGCCTAAAGCTGGGGCAGCCCGGATGGTTTCTAATAAATTTATCACCTGTTAGGGAAGAGCACGCCGCTGATCAATACTGAAGCAGCTGTGGCATCCTGATGTGGGGTCACTGGGAGTCCAGATGTGGAGGTTAATAGCCTGGAAATAGTAGCTAAAATCCCAAATTAGATAACAGTGAAGATCAGAGTTTTTGGCTGTGCTGAATGCCAATTTCAAATGTTGGCAGAAGGCATCTCTGTAATTTATAAAAATTACAGCTGTTGAGGCCACCTACATTTTTATTATTTCTATATTAAAAATGAACCTTCTTTCAGAATATAAGCTTTGGGAAGTAGTCATAAAATTCTCTCCATCTATGGCCCTAGCAACCAGAAAACTAAAATACTGTTTTATTTTTCTTTTTTTGCCACAATCTGTTCTTTAATTTTATGGGACAC